CTCAAAAACTGTTTAAGCTATTGATATTTCCCTCTCACAGATGAGAAAACTGTGGCTCAAGGTGAAGTTCACCCAGGTAGTGACCCCAGGGAACGCCTGGCAGACACTCACCCCAGTTACTGCACAGGCCAAGCAGGACCTGGGGCAGGGAGAAGCACTGCGGTTTGCTCCTTTAGAGAGAGGGGGCCTGGCCAGGAAACGCAGAAGAAGGTTTTGGGTGCTCCGCAGAAATCTTTGCCTTTGGATGCCTCCCACTAACCAGGAACCCAGGCCTTTCTCACCCCAGGGAAGTCCTGGCCTTTTAGGGATCAGGGAGGAGCTCATGGCAGGAGAGTGAAACCAGAAGTAGCTTATGCTTGTACAACTTTATTGTTCAGTCTTGAAGCCCAGCAACAAGCCCTGGAGATGGGTAGGTAATAATAATATCAGCGATATCAAGGACAGGAGCTAACTTTGTTGCAGCTCGTTATATGCTAGGTAGACACTGTGTGATCATTTTGCTTGGCTTATCTCCTTGGGCGGCCCCAAGGGCCGAGATACTATTCTTTATTCCCATTTCACAGAAGAGATAACAGCGGCACAGAGAGGTTAGGTAATTTGCTCAAGTTCACCCCAGCTTGATTTTATTTTAGCGGGGGCAAGGTAATAAGGTATAACTTACAGTAACATTCCCCCCTTGTAGTATACAGTTCTGTGAGTTTTGAAAAATGTGTACAGATGTGTAATTACCATCAGGAAGTAGAGGGGTTCTATTACTCCCCCAAACAGGTCTAACTCCTGCCCTTCACTGCCTCGCAGGCAGCATTGGCCACATTTTTACAGATGACAAGATGGAGGTTGGGAGAGATTGCCTTGTTGCCAAGATCACTCAGCCAGTGTCAGATCCAAGATTAGAACCTTCATTATATGTCTCCTAGCCCGGCTGCCTGCAGAGTGTAGGTTCCTGAATCTACAGAGCCCAGCCCGTGGCTTGGGGCTTGAAGAAAGGGAGTCCTTTGCTTTAAGACAGAGGCTCAGAAATCCCCCACTGAATGCGCTGCCTGTACAAACACTCACCCTTCTAGGGCAGCTAAGGAACAAAGAGGGGCCAGATTCTGTAAGGCCAAAGCCACCAGTAAAGTGAATGCAGCCACCCCGTCTAAGGACTGGAGGCTAGAAGAGTCCAGATCAGCATGGCTAGGACCCTGGCTCACTTCCACCAGCCAGTCTGGTTAATGAGTTACTCTCCTGGTTAATTCCCACACACTTCCTCTACCCACCTCCCACCCCTCACCCCACCCCATAGAAGCCTGGGCTGCAAAGAATCTTCCCAAACTCCTCAAGTCTGGACCCATGAATTAGCATAGACTACCCAGCTTCCGGGGCTTCCCAGGGTCCCTTGACAAGCCCCCCCTCCCCCACACACACATAAGGCTTGGGGCCGGTGGTTCGGAGGCAGAGGGAGGTAGAGGAACTGGCGAGTCCCGTTCCTGTCAGGAAAGTGGGCACTGGAGCCCACAGCTCTCTCACACTCTTGCCCACCTGCCCCACAGCTAGAGTCCCTAGGCCAACCTGACCCTCTCAGGCAGGTTTTGTGAGGCAGGAGGTCACCCAGGGTGGTCAGCGGAGGACGTTGAAGGAGGAGACCTGGCTGTGAGCTGCCCGGGCCCTCTGTCCCTGGAGGGGGAAGCTGAGGGGTCTAGGCTCCAAACTGTTGCTCACTCCCTTGGGACACTCCAGACACATTCTGGCCGAAGAGGGCAAAGAGCGTTAGGGCACGCTGACAGCACCTTAGAGCTCAGCCTGAAAGTTCTAGAAGAGGGGAAGTTCCCTTAGGTATTACACACTGACTGGATTCCCTTTGCCCTCAATCTGCTCTTATACCCTCAGCCAAAATCACTACCACTAACCAATAAATGCTCACTGCCAGCCCTGCAGCCAGGGTGTGGCATATCGTGCCCCCAGTTTTCAATGTGGAGCCCAAGGCCTAGTTTGGAGGGCCTGACCTTAGGTCAAGCTTGACCTTCCAGCCCTCCTGGAGAGCCTTCCATGGAGAAGGGGGCTCTCTCCCTTTCACCCCAGGATCCTGGATCTGCAGCTTCCCTGAGCTGGGTGTTTCTGTCTGGATTGGAGGACTGACCCCTAACTCCACCCCAGGCTCACTCTTTGGCACAGCAAACAGACCCCTACCTTCCTAGGTGGCTTGGGATCCCCACCAGCCTGGGCCTAGTGGCATATCGGGCCCTACAGCCTAAAGGAAGGAGGGATTTCTGAGCTGGAGACAGTATTTTTGGAGGTTGGTGGTGCAGGCCCCAGGGAGGTGCATCTTGGAATGCACCTCCCCCGCCTCCCCCAGAGGCTGGATAGAACACAGGACATCTCTTGGGTTTGGGGGAAAAGATGAGAGCAGGATTGAGAGGGCTGCAAAGCAAGGCCCTGAGAACCCAGGATGAAAACCCAGCCACAACTTCTGCCCAGGGCTGGAGCCAGAGGTCCGCAGCCAGCGGCAGAGGCAGGCTTCCCCAACGTGTGAGGGCCAAGCCGAGGCCCACGCCTGTGTGGGGTGCGAGTTTGTGTACGAGCCATGCCCTGGGAAGCATGGAGCCAGGGACGGCGGGCAGCACACATGGTCTCTGCTGGCCCCTCGCTAGGTCACCTAGACAATCCCAGAAAACGCACTGCTAACTCTTCTCTTGCCTGAAGAGTTTTCTGAAAGGGAGTTTTGGATCCCCCACTTTAACACAAACCATGTCTGGAATAAAGAAGTGGAAAAATTGACAGGAACAGAAGTACACAGCTGGTAAAACCAGGGAGGGTCAAGGGAGACCCCGGGGCAGGGAGGGAGGCAGTGGGGGAAGCAGGGAGCATGTCCTAAGAACCCCGGACCCTTCACTGATGAAGCCAGTGACGCTTCAGCCTGGATCGCACCGGTTCGCTCTTCTCCGCCCCCCCTCAAATCCACATTTTCCGGGTCTCACGGCAACCCAGCCACCAAACAGAGGCATTTCTTCATCCTTAAGAGAAATGACATGGGCTTCCAAGGAAAGATTTAAAGGACGCCAGATTTCTTTTATCATTAATTGTAAACGTGCGAAATACCTGCTGGTACTTCACTTTAGAAGAATGTAATTGGCAAAAAGAGAGAAAAAAAGGAAAAAAGAGACGGCTGATGAATAGATAATAGATCTTTAACCACCAATAAACAGAGAGCAGCGCCAACAGCCGGGGGGGATGTGATCATAATTATGCCGCTGCGTGAGCCAATGGGGACGAGGGAACTCGGCCCTAAAATCATCCCAAAACCGAAGGCGAGCTCGAAAATGCGGACACGGCCCGGGACCGGAGACGCGATCTGCAATCCCTAGATGTGAGCCCTAAGCTTTTGCACAGCAACCCGCCCCTGGGACAGCAGAGGGCAAAATAATAACAGAACATAATAATAATAGTAATAATAATAATAATAAACAACATCCATAATAATAACAATGAAAACAACACTAACAAAATAATAACGACAACGGAACGATAATAGTAGCACCACACAGCCACTCTCCCGACCTTGGAACCTCGGCCCAGACCTTACGGAAGGAACTGTTTTGCGGAAGGAGGTGAGCGCTCCCCCGGAGAGAGCCTGTAGGGCGAGCCGGACGCCCACTGCCCCCGCGGAGCCAGGGAGTCCCGGCTCACCCCGCAAACGAACGAGCCGGGTCCAGGATCGCGAAAGCCGCGACCCTAGGACCTAGAGGCTACGTGAGGTTGGAGGACCCCCACACTCCCAGATTTTCTCCTAGCCCAGAAAGCCGCCCGGGATTTTGCCAGGGGTGCGGACTGAAATGAACGAACGGTTTCGTTAGCCTTCGCCCAGAACCAGCCCTTGCTCGCTTACCCTCGCGGGGCTCCCGGGCGATCCCAGCTTCCCCGACGCGGGGCCGCGGGGCACAACGGCAGCAGAGCGCTAGGAACCAGCGATCTGCGTGCTTGTCTGTCCATCCGCCCTGCCAGCTCGGGCTCTGCAGGCTCGGGATCCAGGGGGGACGCAGCGGAGGCTGAACCGGCCGGGGACTCTGCAGGGACCAGGGTGCCCCGGAGGGAGTGTTGGTGGTGGAGGAGGAGGCGGTGGCTGAGAGGGAGGAGGTGGGGAAAGAGGAGGAGGAAGAAGAGGAGGAGGAGAAGAAGGAAGAGAAGGAGGAGGAGGAGGAGGAGGAGGAAGAGAAGAAGCCGAAGGAAGAGGAGGAGGCGAAAGAGGAGGAGAAGCCGCAGCGGGCGCCGCGGGAGCGAGTGAGCCGGGAGCGCGGGCGAGGGCGCGGCGAGGCCGGGCGGCCGGGTGGGCGCAGGAGGCAAGGCTGAAGCGGCGGCGCCGACTCCGTTCCACTCTCGGCCGGGATCCAGGCCTCCGGGTTCCCAGGCGCTCGTCTCCCTCTGACGCACTTTAAAGAGTCTCCCCCCTTCCACCTCAGGGCGAGTAATAGCGACCAATCATCAAGCCATTTACCAGGCTTCGGAGGAAGCTGTTTATGTGATCCCCGCACTAATTAGGCTCATGAACTAACAAATCGTTTGCACAACTTGTGAAGAAGCGAACACTTCCATGGATTGTCCTTGGACTTAGGGCGCCCTGCCCGCCTTTTGCAGAGGAGAGAAAACTTTTTTTGCCTCCCCCAAGAAACTCCCCCCCCTCCCTGTCTCTAACTCCGATTCCCCCCACGCCATCTCGCCAAAAAAAAAAAAAAAAAAAAAAAAAATTACCCCAATCCACGCCTGCAAATTCTTCTGGAAGGATTTTTCCCCCTCTCTCCAGGTTGGGCGCGTTTGGTGCAAGATTCTCGGGATCCTCGGCTTTGCCTCTCCCTCCCCCCCCCCCCTCCTTTCCTTCTTTCTTTCCTTTCTTTCTTCTTCCCCCCCCCCCCCAACAAACAAGTCCCCAATTCTGGTCGGTCCTCGCCGCGGGCAGCGAGCGGCGGAGGCAGCCCGCCGCGGTCGCCGGGAGCCGGGAGCCCCGGGCGCCAGCTCCTCGGCGCAGCATGTTCCAGCCGGCGCCCAAGCGCTGCTTCACCATCGAGTCGCTGGTGGCCAAGGACAGTCCCCTGCCCGCCTCGCGCTCTGAGGACCCCATTCGTCCCGCGGCGCTCAGCTACGCCAACTCCAGCCCCATAAACCCGTTCCTCAACGGCTTCCACTCGGCCGCTGCCGCCGCCGCTGCCGGCAGGGGCGTCTACTCCAACCCGGACTTGGTGTTCGCCGAGGCGGTCTCACACCCGCCCAACCCCGCCGTGCCAGTGCACCCGGTGCCGCCGCCGCACGCCCTGGCCGCCCACCCCCTGCCCTCCTCGCACTCGCCACACCCCCTCTTCGCCTCGCAGCAGCGGGACCCGTCTACCTTCTACCCCTGGCTCATCCATCGATACCGATATCTGGGCCATCGCTTCCAAGGTAAGTGCCACGTCGCGGGGCTGGCAGCGCGCCGCATCCCGCACGCCCTGGGCCTGCTGGGGTGGGCGCTTGGCAAGCCCGGCCAGAGGTTCCTCCCGCTGGCAGGCCGCGCACCCCATTCGTAAATTGGGCAGCCAGGGGCCGGGCGTGGTGTTGGTCCCCAGCTTCCAAAGCTGTGGCCAGTTTGGGGGCTGGCTTGCGGCCGAAAGTTGTCCCCGAGTGCTCTCGGATTGCCGACAGGACAGCCTAGGAGTTCCGGAGCCCGCGGGGTCCCCAGTCTCCACCTCTTGTCGGCGATACCCTCATTGCCTGGGCTCCGAGGGTCGCGGACCGGGCCCAGCCGCCAAGTTTACCTTCGACTGCGTTCGACACTGTTCGCCGCCCACTCCGCGTCCCTTTAGCCTAGACTCGTGGCTTTGACTCAGTCTCCGACAGTCTTCGGGCGGCGAGGGGACTCTCGCGCCCGGGGCAAAATCGGGGGGTTGGTTTTTTCCTGATTGTTGGAGGCCCGGGAGGGGCGGGAACCCACGCGGGCTGAAGCCTCCGAGGCTCGGCACACCCGATGTGGGGCGCGGAGCGGCAGCATCGGGAAGACAGGTTCAGTCTGGTTTTGGTTTTTTTTATTTATTTTTGTTTTAAGAGAAATGAACCGAGGCGGGAGAAGGGCTGGAGAAGATTCTGTTTGGGTATTTTCCTTTCTTGCTATTTTTTGGTTTGTTTGTTTTTTCTCGGTGTGGGGGTGGGAGGAAAGTTAAAACTCCAGAAAAAGTGGCGAGTAATTAGTGGAGCGATAGGAGCCGGGAAAAGACTTACCTCCCGTGGCAGCCGATCAATACTCAGCGGCTTGTCCATTCATTAACCCTTTGCGTTCCTGCCAGAGCCTAGAATCGGGTAGGTGCCAAACCACCCCTCATTTAACAAACAAAACAAAACAAGAATAACCGTTCGTCTTTATTCCCTGACCAGATTTGTCTCCATTCTCGCCTGAACTGTTGGTTAGTTTTTCTTTGGGCTTTTAGTGAATGTGCTTCCCACCCTAATGAGTGCACCCGAAACTCTCTGGCTGTGCTCGGAAAGTTTAGGGCTCCCTTTCCTTATTCTCGGCTAGCCTCGCTCTAGGTGCCCGCACCGGGCCCGGAGTAGCCCCGGGCGTCCCAGGCCGCGGGCAGCCCCGTCAGGCCCCCGCCGCTCGCAGACCCACGGGTTTCGATCCCTTCGCTCGCGCCTCCGCGTTCTCCGGAGCCGGACAGCGGGGGAGCCGGGTCTTCCGGAGGCAGAGGTGGCAGAAGCGGGGGACCCCCGCCGGCGAGATTTAGGTCCTAGCCGGGCTGCGAAGAGACTCCCGTCCTCTGCAGTTTCCCAGATGGGAAAAACTTCAATACGTAACTTAAAAATAAGTCTTCGAAAAAAACTCTGGATATCGGTCCGCCGCCTTTCCATCCCAATCAAAAGTTCCACGAGGGGTTAGAAAGAGAAAGCCATTTCTTTGGGTCGTGGGCTCCAATTGCCGAGCCTGTCCCTGCCTCGCCCTTCTCTGCCCAGGGCGCCCGGCTCGGAGGTGCTGAGGCCCGCGCGCTAGGGCGGCTGCAAAGTCCGCCGAGGTCAGGAGCCTGGGGACCGGCCCCGCACGGGCAGCCTTGGGTTGCGGGGCCGCACAGGGAGAGTCCGGTGGTCCGGGCCGGGCAGTTGGGCCTGTATCCTCTTCGCGGGACTCTACCGGGTCCCCAGCCCCACGGGCCAAGCCGCAGAAGCTACGCAAAGGCCCTGAGCGCCGTGCCCCGCCAGCCCGGCTCCTAAGAAGCGCGCGGTCCCAGCCAGGGCTGTCCCTTCTAACGGGACTTCTGCTGTGTCCCCCGCAGGGAATGACACGAGCCCCGAGAGCTTCCTTTTGCACAACGCTCTGGCCCGAAAGCCGAAGCGGATCCGAACCGCCTTTTCCCCGTCCCAGCTTCTGAGGCTGGAACACGCCTTCGAGAAAAACCACTACGTGGTGGGCGCAGAGAGGAAGCAGCTGGCGCACAGCCTCAGCCTCACGGAAACTCAGGTGAGCCGGGCCCAGGCGCGGCGACCCCATCCCAAACCTCTGGACCCACGCAGCAGGCCCACAAGCGAGGAGCTCGGAGAAGGCCTTCGGCGCCCAAGGGCCTGGGGGCTGGTTCCGCGTTCCCTCGCTCAGGGTGTAGGTCTCCAGGTGCCAGGCTTCCTTGGTCTCCAGAAGGGACTGCAGGAGGCTACCGGCCCCAGGCTCTGGGTGCAGGGCGGAGGGACGGGCTGGTTCGCTCCTTCTGCCGGCTGGGCATGCCTTGCAGCTCCTGGCTAAGTCACCTTTGCACTTCTGGTGAAACTTTTGGGGAGACTGTGGGGACCCAGTTGGGGCTGGAGCCCAGGAAGGGGGAGAGAGCAGCGGGGTGTCGGCGCGTCGGGTGTGGAAGCTGGAGAAGTCTGGGAATTAGGTAAAGGCAAGTTTTGTGCCACCCCAGGCCTGTGCTCACACCGCTAACTCCTCTTGGAGCAATCTTAGAGTCAGAAGGCGGAGGCCGCGCATCATGGATACTCCCTAAATCAGAGAAGCAGAATTGGCTGTGAAGAAGGGCTGCTTCTGGGGACAGACCCTTCCTTCGCCTTGGGTTTCCGAGGCGGGCCTGGCTCTGAGCTGCCCGGAGCGGGGAGGGGGCTTAGGGCTACAGTAGGTGCTACTGTATGCGGAGCCTCAGGGCGGGGTCAGAGTTCCCAGAAAACAGTAACGTTTTCGTGAAGATTAAGTTGTAACACTTTTTCTGGGAGGCGCAAAGAGGTCGAGGCTTTGTTTTAAAACGTGCCCCCCGCAACCCCCCGCCGACGAAACCGAGGAGGGCCCCGCGGGTTGGTGCGCGGCCGGCTCAAGGCGCGGCCCCGGCTGATTTCTCCTGGAGTGTTGAGGCTGCGGTGGTCTTTGTCCGCCTCGCTGCCTACGCTGCCTGCGGTCTTTGTGTGCGTGTCAAGCCCCGAGCGCACGGACGCGCGCCTTGGGCGAGCGCCGGGGAGAAATGAACCATCCTCCCCCTCAATTAGCAAACTCAAAGCAAATTAAACTCAGCCTTGTTCCAGCTCTACTTTTTCCTGGGGCACTTGGGGGGATTGGGGCATACGGGGAAAGCAAGCTAGGACCTGTGCTGGACTCTCAAAGGACGGAGTGGAGCGGGCCTCAGCGGCCTGTGGTGGTGCTATCAAGAGAGGACAGGTCCGCGGGCATGGGAGGTGCAGTCACCACCATTCCCCTTACCTGCACCTCGCTGGTGGAAAGCTTAGACCATGTCACTGCCTACTTTGCTCACTGATTGGGGACCCACCGTCCAGCTTCCCCAGAGGGCCATGGGGGTAGCAGATGAGCGAGTCCCTGGCCTCACTGCTCCCCAGACCTCCAGCAGCTGCTCGGCGGGGCCAGGCTGCCAGAGGAGCCCCAGTAGGAAGTGATGTGGCCAGAGTGGAAGCTTGGACCCGTCCTGCCGTGGGACGGGTCAGGAGCAAGGGGAGTCTCTCCCTGTCTTCTCTCCTTTCTCAGTTTCTTTCTTTCCCTTTTATCCTGAGTCTTTCAGAAGCTTTCACTTTTGAGCGTCTTTTCCTAACTACAATTATAGCTGGGTTGGTCCCTAGGCTTCTGCACACCCTGTCCCTCCTGGCTTCCTCCAGCACCCCCTACCACCCACTCTTGCTCACCTGCAAGAGTCCTGGGCAAGGAGAAGGAAGCTCAGGCCAATCCTGACTGCTTACCCAGGCCCCGGCCTTGCAGAGGAGGCGCTATATTTAGGCAATGCTGCGGAAACTGACAGAAAATAGAAAGCACATTGGGCCCTGCAGGAAACTGCAGCAGCTGGAGTGAGGTCTTTGCTGCGCTGGCTGAGTAGAGGAGTTAGGAACCATGTCTCTTTTTATTTTTCTGTACCTCTTATTTTTAGAGGGGTTTCCCATGCTTTGCAAGGCTTTTGTTCTCAGTGGAATGTGGGTGTCCCGTGCAGGGCAAGGTGAAAAGGGCTGTGCACTGTGGGCCCTGGCCGGGGAGAGTGACTTGGGATGGCCAGGGCAGGGAGCCAGGCTTCCCACTCGCCCTGCTCCAGAAGCTCTGCTCCCTGAAGGGAGGCCTTGCACAGGCTGGCCTTAGGACACCCGCTGGGGGACCGGCCCTTCGCGTTGCAGACAGGGTCTGAGCTCAGCAAAGGCAGAGGAGATAGGAGGGCGCTGTGGAGGAACTAACGCGCCCCTTCTGCCTCTGGCCCGCAGGTAAAAGTATGGTTTCAGAACCGAAGGACCAAGTTCAAAAGACAGAAGCTGGAGGAAGAAGGTTCAGATTCCCAACAAAAGAAAAAAGGGACGCATCATATTAACCGGTGGAGAATCGCCACCAAGCAGGCGAGTCCCGAGGAAATAGATGTAACCTCAGACGATTAAAAACACAAATCGAATCTCACAGAAACGGACTACACAGAGCAAAACAGACAGGGAGAAGAGGGGAAGAAGGGAAAAAAAACCCCCTACAAAACAAAAACAAACCACACACACAGTCACGGAGAAGGGGAGAGGGGATCAGAGAGACAGCAGCGGAGCGACGCAGACTTTGGGCAGCCAGGGCGCAGGGTCCCGATCGGAGGCCGCGCCAAGAAGGCAGAGGACAGAGGCTCCTTGATCAACATGCAACCCTTGTCTAAACAGGCAGTTGAGTGAGTGAGAGAGAGAGAGATCCAAATGTGGCAAAGCGGAAGGCACTCTGACAAGGGGAGCTGTCAGTCAAACGCCAAGCCAGCGAGACAAGATGATTGGCAGGTATTCCGTTTATCGCAGTCCAATTTTTTTTAAAAAAGATATGATGATAATAATGATGATAAAAGAAAAAAAACCCAACCAGATACAGGACTTTATATTTTGCACTTCGCAGTGTTGTTCCCCAATCTTTAAAAATAATTAGTATAATAACGATCGAAATTTCATATCCAGCCCCATCCCACACCTGTTCAAAAACTTGAATTGCATGTAGCAGTTGTTGGGCGAATGGTGTCTAAAGACAGAAAATGAATTGTAATTCTCTTTTCCTTTTAAAGACAGGTTCTGTGTGCTTTTTATTTTGATTTTTTTTTTGAGAAATGTGCAGTCTGTAAACACTTTTTGATACCTTCTGACGTCAAAGTGATTGTGAAAGCTAAATTAAGTAGGCTCAGAGATAGTGGTCCTCTTACAGAGAAATGGGGAGCTGGATGGGGGGCTGGGGGGGCTGGGGGGGGTGCCCACAAGAAGAGTCAGTAATTGTGTTGGAAAAAAAAAAAACCCCACCTAAATTAATTGTATTTCTTGGACATTCCCTTTCCTAACATCCCAAGGCTTTAAACCATGAAGCGAACTCCTTTTAGTGGTTGGAGATGTTGGCCGAGTTCAACCATTTACTGTAAAGGCCATTTCCAAACTTTAAATCTATTGCAAAAACTGAAGGACTGTAGTTAGCGGGGATGATGTGAAGTGTGGCCAAAGACACGGCGGCGAGTTTTCAAGCACTGAGTTTCTATTCCAAGATCATAGACTTACTAAAGAGAGTGACAAATGCTTCCTTAATGTCTTCTATACCAGAATGTAAATATTTTTGTGTTTTGTGTTAATTTGTTAGAATTCTAACACACTATATACTTCCAAGAAGTATGTCAATGTCAATATTTTGTCAATAAAGATTTATCAATATGCCCTCAGAGTAGTCGTCTTGGGGAAATGAGGGAAACTTTTTTTCTTAAAAAAGTTTGTCCAATAATTTGAGTGTGGTCCTTCCCCAACCAGGCTCCAGAAACCCAACCTCCCCACCCACAAAAGGACCAGACTGATGGATTCTTGGGCATTTTAAAGAGAGATGAGGGTGGAAAGGGGAGAGGATTAAGAAAACCTAAGTCCTTCAGAAAAGGGATGGGGGAAAAGTTTTTCCAACCAGACCTTTGCCCATTGCAAGGCCCACTGAGGGAGCTTAGTTTCAATGTCAGGTTAAAAACCCACTTCTTTTAATCTCTAGTTATTTTTTTAAAATATAGATATATTTGTTATGTATTGAAGATTATTCCTTCAGGATTGGGGATAACACCGCGCAGAATCAGAATCCTGGGATATTTAAACTGTTACTGACTTTAAACCCCAAAGTACAAGTCTCTCTCTCTCTCTCTCTCTCTCTCTATCTCTGTGTGTCTCTCCCTTCCTTCCTTCCTTCTTTCTTTCCCCTCCCTCTTTCTCCCCCCCCCCCCCAGTCTGCCTAAGGTGGTGAGGCGGGCTCAAGGGCCTCAGCAGCCTTATAAGGCAAGCTTTCTGAGAAACCTCCAACTCTTAATTTTAACATTAAAGAAAAAGTTGTAGCCAGTCTTGAAGGAAACTTAGCTTCCCCCTCCTTCCCCCTTCTGGGGGTACGAGGTTGTTTTTGCATGCTTCATTTGCTTCTTATCCTGATAGGCTGCATTAATCAGTTTTATTTCCATTGATAGAGAAACCTCGTCTGTTCTGTTCGAGCTACAAAGCGTCCTGCGAGCTTTTGTGAAAGTGCAAATCAGTTTAAGCAATTATCATACCAGGAATATGAAGGGGAAAGAGGAGGCCTTGCCCAGTGGTCTCCTTTAATCTCTTAATCCATGGATCCAGGGGGGCTGCCTGGACATAATTTAGGACAATCTCCCCACCCTTTACACTGTGATAAGGCCAAGTTACAATGCAGGGCAAAAATACAAGCTTTGTTAACATCCTGCCTTGAAAAGTTAAGATTAGACATTCTGTGCACGTGTGGGGACTATAGGGCACTATGGAAATTTTTCTTTCTTTCCCCCCCCTCCCCTCCTCTCTTCTAAAGTGGAATTCATTCCTGGTCTTTCTCCCTCTTCTATTTATTTATTTATTTATTTATTTAAATATACCTTTGCCTGTCTCTCCTCTTTTTCCCTCTGTGTGAGTTCCTCTCGAGAACCCTGGCTGTTCGAGGTGCGTTTTCCTGCAGATTCTTCTGGGAAGATGTGTGTTGGGGGCACACTGAATGCCGGAGGTTGCTGGGGTGAGAGGGACCTGCCTCAGGAGACCCCGCTTGTCTCTGGAAGGAACTGGTGTTGCTCTGGGTACCCTGGAAACTCAAGCCGGGTTTCCAGCTGCATTGACAGCAAGACCTCGGTGACCAGTGGCCGTCCCGAGCGCTCCGCAGTCAGTGCTACAGTACTGCATCCCTTTGTCTAGACAAGTTACCTTTTCCGTCTACCCACTTGCCGAAACCCAGGCAGAGTACCTCAAACGCGGGGCACAGATCTGCTAAAATTCAGGCAGACTTTTCCAGAAGAAAATTTCCCAGTTGGCTAAAAGGTTTATCCCTGCAGAACCATATACTTTTTTTTAAGTACAAGAAAAGAGGGCAAGTGACAAAGATTTTTTTGGTAAACGTCCTATGTAGTGTAACAGCAATAAAATCATCAGAGAATACCATTAGCTTTGAAAAAAAACCCTAAAAGCTTTATTACAAACCAAGCTTTGAAAATAGGGGGGATTAGGCGGCTGAAAGGGTCCCACAATGGTAAGAAGAAAAGGTTTCATGCTAATGAGGTTAATGCCCTTTGTATCTCAGGCCTCCACATCTTCATTACGCGCTATCTCCGGCTGCACCAAGCGCTCAGAGGGCCACAATCCACTCCAATGCCCCCCTTCCCGGCCCAAAGAAGGATTTGATAGCAGCTCTGTTCAAACTAGATAATTATATCTTTTCAAGTCGGAATTAAGATAAAGAAAGTGAAGCAGAGGCGGCTCGCCTTGATCCACTGCAAACAAATTTGGCGCACTTTCGAGTCCTTCCCCCACCTCAAAAAGGCAGGACAGTCAGCTTATTAGCCGCTCGTTTGCTTTATTAATTCATCTATTTAAAGTGGCAGGATTAGAGAGTCTAATGTGGACGCGGGCTGCAGTGGCGCTGAGGAATATAAATATTTGCGAGATGCCATCCCACGATGACTGTCTGGGCGCTGGGCACAGGGCAGGGTGCGGGGCGCGTGTGCCTTATGACTGCGTCTCCTTGGCAATGCCTCAAACATGGGCTGGGCTGCAGCCTTTTGGACAAGGGCTGCGTGAAAGCCATGTGCCCAACTCTGGGTCCTCTCTTGTGTTTCATGGGGGCCAGGCCTGGATGCCCTGGCAGGGCTCTGTGTTCCTCCCTTAACATGTCCAACTGCATGCATGTTGCCTTGTGTCCTGTTACCCCGAGTCAGGATGTATTTCACACGTTTGATCCAATTCCTGCTCCCTTGTTGATTACTCGTGGGCCTTCCCTGTGCATCCCGCAGTGCCTAGTGGATTTGGGGAGAAGACAGGCGTGGGCTCTCAGTTTGCATTTCCCTGAGAGAGGCAAACCGAGAGTGTGTTATCTAAGTGCCCCGGCTACCTTCTCCTTCCTGTGAAGTATACAGGGAGTTCAGTCTGCGTTTCGAGTTGGGGATCCTGTCTTGTACGCAGCGGATACCCGGGCGTCGGGGGATGGGGGTTCAAGGCAACAGGAACTCCCGGGGCAGGAGAAAACTTGGAACCCCCTGTCTGGGCAGGTAGCCCTTTCTGCGTCTCTTTTGGGTATCCAGGGCTCCCAGCTCCCTCCAACCCTGTTCCTGGAAGACCAGCAGCGCCGAAGCGGGAGCGTTGGAGCTAGCCGGGAACCTGCCGGGCCACTTTTGTGCTAGGGGGCGGATTGTGGTAGGCAGAGAGCCGGGCCAAGCGGGCCAGGCAGAAAGGGGACTCGGGCCTGCGCCTGGCCACGGGAACCTCGGCTCCTCCCCGTCCCCGCCTCGAGTAGCAGGAAAACAAAGTCTCGGACTCTTTGGCCGCTTGGGGAGGGAGTCTGGTGGCTGGGAGGCCTGGCCCCGGGCCGGCCCGCTCCACGGTGGGGGTATCTGGGCTGGGCTGCGCGTATGTGCAGTTTCAAGTCGAAATAAGGGTGTGGATGTGAGTTAGGGTGAAAGGCTGTGCTTGTGCGTTGGCATAGGTCGCGTGTTTGAATCAGGTCTGTGAAACAGTTGTGTTTGTGTGGAGATGTACTTGTGAGTCTAAGCCAGGACTTAGGTCAGGATGTGTAGGTGCTAACTGTGCGTGCAACCTGTGTGAGTTTGAGGATGGAGAGGCCAGAGCTACTGGTGTAGATTGTGAGCACCGGGCTGCCCAGCTTTCCTTGTGCATTTAGATTGTACTGAGTGAGGGCAAGAGCGTGTAGTTAGTTGTGCTGCTGTAATTTGGGTGCCTAGAAAGGCACTTGGTATAGAATGTGTGTGCCAATGTCTGGTCGCGCGGTGTCCCCTGTGAGCCCGGGTGTAGTTATAGATCTCAGACACGGGAATGGCCTCAGTGCGGGTGCCACTCTCGGTAACATTTCTCTGTGTTTGGGTGGGGGTCCCCGCGTGATGGCGCCCATGCCAGCGCCCCGGCGGCATCTGCGTGTTTCAGGATCTAAGCGCGCGCGCGTGTGTCTAAGGAAGCGGTCTGGGTGGTGGTATTGTTCCCGCAGCGCACCACTTGCTCCGGAGTTTGGCAAAC